GAGAATTCCAGTAAGATATCTTTAATCCTTTCTAAGATACAACGGTTCAAAACTTAATCTAACATTGGACAATTTTGCTGTTATGCCCGGTATAAACAGGGTGTCCGCAAAAACTTGACATCATTTCGCAGGCTAATAATTTGGGCAATTCTTGTTGAAATAACCTTAAATTTTCACAGAATGTAGAGAAGCAGATCAAGATTTTATATTTAATTTTTTATTTTTGTTATCTCAACGAGAATCTGCCAGAGAGATGGATCGGGCGTGGTGGAGATAAAGACAGTTTTCTAATGAAATGGCCTCCGCAGTCCCTGAATCTGTCCCCATGTGATTTCTTTTTATGGGGATATGTGAAGGGACTGGTCTATGCCCCCCCTCTTCCTGCTAACATTGATGAACTCCAACAGAGAATCACTTCCGCACTGGATAATGTTACCAAGACATGCTACAACGTGTTTGGCAAGAGCTTAACTACCGACTTGTCGTGTGCCGTGTCACAGGCGGTGCCCATATTGAAAATTTATGCAATCGGTCCATAATAAACTTATGATGTTCAACACCTAAACTGTTTAATTTCACTGAGCTACACTTAGTTGTTTTTAAAATGATGTCATTTTTGGATACTTGTATATATATATATATATATATATATATGTATTATAAAGAGATAATCATACATTAAATCAATTAGCAATATTAATGTAATTAATTGGGAAATCTCTTCGCTGACAGACTTAATAAAAGCATTAAACTACTAAAAATCCATTGAATGATGCGATCCTTATGTATAAAATTGTTGTCAGATGGATCTGGTGTATTTTTTAGAGCAGCAAGTACTTTCAAGGACTTCATGTCCTCATCATCAAGTTGTAATTTTTTCCTTTAAAATCAAAACTCGAAGACGAAATAAATGTGTTGTAGGCCGAAAGATGTTTTTTTTTAAAGAATGTCTTATTTATTAACGGTTATTGGAACGTAAAAGTTGCAACACTAAAGTTCAAATATTTCAAGTGAGAATTTTTTATATGAATTTTGTAATTTAGTAAATCCACGAATTCTTTTGTTGTAAGTGTTTTCCATTTAACGTGACATGAACTAAGTACATAGTTCAATTAATAGAGTGATATGTCTTAGTAGTTTATTTTTTTCTCCGGAATTTCGTACTGCGGATCAATTGTTTTCATAAATTACATTACATGATAATATAAGCATTATGAGTGAAAATTTGTCGCTTAGCTGATTGATGTTACCTTCAGCATCCATATTCCAGAGTTGCGTAGGCAGACTTACCGGTCCGCTCTTCAGGGGATATCAGCAAATAACAGCTTATATTTTTTCGTTTTTCTTTTTAATGCACTTATCATTGGTGTAAGTTTTTTCCGTATCGTTTGTCTTCGTGTGCGCATTTTGTTCGGGTGCGGGCATGGCTCGTCTGTGCAGATGTGCGTTCGTGCGCGTGCACCCGTCTGCGCGGATGTGTGTTCTTGTAGGGTGTCGTGATCAGTTGTCATTTTCTTCGCTTTTTTTTTTCACTTTACACTCATTCCTTAGCTTTTTCTCTTTTTTCCCTTTTCCTCTTTTCTTTCGACAGTTGCCATATTTGGACAGCAATTAAAATGTCTTCTTTTCTGGAACAAAATTATCTTGTTCAACGATATATATATATATATATATATATATATATATATATATATATATATATATATATATATATATATGAGGCTCGAAGACTAAAATTTCATGGTTATAATTTATTTCACTGGGTTCTGTAATAACGACCCAACTCCTCAGACCTACAAATTCAAAAGGAAACAGAAAATATATCTCCAGGTTTAAATAAAAAATTCTGTGACAGATTCAGTGATACCTGGATTATATCCTATATATCTATATATATATATATATATATATATATATATATATATATATATATATATATATATATATATATATATATATTTATATATATATATATATATTCTGTGGTACCTGGATTATATCCTATATATATATATGTTATGAAATGGACTAAGTCCGACAATAATTTTAATATATTTTCTGTTTCTTTGTATCTGATCTATAGAAATAACATATAAACAGAATATATATATATATATATATATATATATATATATATATATATATATATGTGTGTGTGTGTGTGTGTGTGTGTGTGTTTTCTTTGTATGATATTAGTCTGTGCTAACTTGACGGGCCCACAAAAAATCCTGGATTTTAACACTAACCGCTATCACTTGAAAATCTGGCGCAACACAATCTTCCTATTTATTTAAACTTCGATAAACCTTCCTTTACTCTTGTCATCTGCTAAGTTTTGCTTTGTTTTCCTCACGTGATCCTTGCATCGAGAGCGAATAATATCTTAGTCATTGTGCATTTAACAGGATTCGTTTAATCTGACACTGGGCCCAAATACTTAAGCGCTAGTCAGGATCGAACTCTATTAGCAATGGTCTATAGGTCGAAGGCCTTTGGTAAGCGCCATCTCAAATGTATATATATATATTAACTGCAATCCCTAAGGGTATGTCTTGCCCTGCTGTTTTCCTCTCTTGACTGAAATCAAAACAATTGCCTGTTTATAGTTCTCTCTTTTGCACATTCACTTCTTATTTCCTCTCTTTGTTACCACCTTTGTCTATTTCTGTCTGTCTGTCTCTCTCTCTCTCTTTTTATACCTTTGTTATTTTGCCTTCTTATTATTATTGTTCTTTTTGGTGCACCTTTTTGTTATTCTTGTTCCTGTGTGGTTTTATTTCAAACTATTTAGATTCATTGATCGACGTTGTTTGCCGTCTGTTCGCTTTCAGTACGGGCAACGCTTGCTTTATTCATATGAACTGCGCCTTTAAAGAAGATGCAAGATACGAAAGGAAATGAATGACAAAAATGAATGGCAGAAAAAAAAAGTGCTCGCAAGACTTACAGGCTTTCTGCCTTTTTTCCACGTTGCTTTCTTTATACGTTCCTTTTTTTTTTCTTTTCTTTTATTTGTCCCTTTCTGTGAATTTTATTTATTTTTATCTTTCCATTACCTTATTCTTTCTTTCTTTCTTTCTTTCTTTCTTTCTTTCTTTTATTCGTAACATCCTTCACTTTCACTTAGTTATCTGCCTTTCTTTTCGTACATTTTCCATTCTTTCTTTCTTTCTTTCTTTCTTTCTTTCTTTCTTTCTTTCTTTCTTTCTTTCTTTTTCTTACATAATCTCTTTTCTTTCTTTCTTTTCTTTCTTTCTTTCTTTCTTTCTTTCTTTCTTTCTTCCTTTCTTTCTTTCTTTCTTTCGTAACATCCTTCACTTTCATTTAGTTATCTGCCTTTCTTTTCGTACATTTTCCATTCTTTCTTTCTTTCTTTCTTTCTTTCTTTTCTTTCTTTTATTTCATCCTTCACTTTCATTTAGTTATCTGCCTTTCTTTTTACATTTTCCATTCTTTTTTTTTCTTTCTTTCTTTCTTTCTTTTTTCTTTCTTTCTTTTTTTATTCGTAACATCCTTCCTTTCATTTAGTTATCTGCCTTTCTTTTTACATTTTCCATTCTTCTTTTCTTTCTTTTCTTTTCTTTTCTTTCTTTCTTTCTTTCTTTCTTTTATTCGTAACATCCTTCACTTTCATTTAGTTATCTGCCTTTCTTTTCGTACATTTTCCATTCTTTCTTTTCTTTCTTTCTTTCTTTTCTTTCTTTTTCTTTCTTTCTTTCTTTCTTTCTTTTATTCGTAACATCCTTCACTTTCATTTAGTTATCTGCCTTTCTTTTACATTTTCCATTCTTTTTTTTCTTTCTTTCTTTTCTTTCTTTCTTTCTTTCTTTCTTTTTATTCGTTAACATCCTTCACTTTCATTTAGTTATCTGCCTTTCTTTTCGTACATTTTCCATTCTTTCTTTCTTTCTTTCTTTCTTTCTTTCTTTCTTTCTTTCTTTCTTTCTTTTATTCGTAACATCCTTCACTTTCATTTAGTTATCTGCCTTTCTTTTCGTACATTTTCCATTCTTTCTTTCTTTCTTTTCTTTTCTTTCTTTCTTTTTTTTATTTAACATCCTTCACTTTCATTTAGTTATCTTTTCTTTTCGTACATTTTCCATTCTTTCCTTTCTTTCTTTCTTTTATTTAACATCCTTCACTTTCATTTAGTTATCTGCCTTTCTTTTCGTACATTTTCCATTCTTTCTTTCTTTCTTTCTTTCTTTCTTTCTTTCTTTCTTTCTTTCTTTCTTTCTTTTATTCGTAACATCCTTCACTTTCATTTAGTTATCTGCCTTTCTTTTCGTACATTTTCCATTCTTTCTTTCTTTCTTTCTTTCTTTCTTTCTTTCTTTCTTTCTTTCTTTCTTTCTTTCTTTTATTCGTAACATCCTTCACTTTCATTTAGTTATCTGCCCTTTTTCTTTTCATTTTCCATTCTTTTTTCTTTCTTTCTTTCTTTTTCTTTCTTTCTTTTTCTTTCTTTTATTCGTAACATCCTTCACTTTCATTTAGTTATCTGCCTTTCTTTTATTACATTTTCCATTCTTTCTTTCTTTCTTTCTTTCTTTCTTTCTTTCTTTCTTACATAATCTCTTTTCTTTCTTTCTTTCTTTCTTTCTTTCTTTCTTTCTTTCTTTCTTTCTTTCTTTCTTTTTTTATTCGTAACATCCTTCACTTTCATTTAGTTATCTGCCTTTCTTTTCGTACATTTTCCATTCTTTTTTCTTTCTTTCTTTCTTTCTTTTATTCGTAACATCCTTCACTTTCATTTAGTTATCTGCCTTTCTTTTCTTACATTTTCCATTTTCCTTTCTTCCTTTCTTTCTTTCTTTCTTTCTTTCTTTCTTTCTTTCTTTCTTTCTTTCTTTCTTTCTTTCTTCTTTTTATTCGTAACATCCTTCACTTTCATTTAGTTATCTTTCTTCTTTCTTTCTTTCTTTCTTTCTTTCTTTCTCACCTTCACCAGTATTTTTAATTCCAAATCACCTTTCAAAGAACAATCTCTTCCTATTTTA